CCCTAACACAGGTTGAGAAGCTGGAGCTATTGCCTGCAGTGACAGCCACCGCTGCGGGGGGGAACCCGATAGCTCCTGGGGTCCCGTGGCCGCCAGCTGCTCCAGCATGGCTCCAAGGCCTTTGCAGAGCAATCTGTCCCTTACTCTAGATGCAAATGTTGATGAAAGGCAAGGCATTCATCATGGTTTTACTCCAAGTTTATAGAATCAAAAATAAAACTCAAGAACTTCTTTATTTCTATGGAAAAAGTAAGGGGGTTACTTTCTTGCAGCTGAATTACTGGCTTTTTGTCTCTTTCAGTGGGATTTTACTCTTTAAGAGGTAAACAAACAAACCCATATTGACAATTAGCTGTAAATAGCCGAAAGAGGAGACTCCAAATTGTTTGTATAAAACTCCGCCAATGGTGGGGCCCACAGTCCGGGTCAAGGGCTGGACCGAGGCACAGATCCCAAGCATGGTACCTAGGAGAGGTGGCAGAGACACACAGACGTCAGGGTGAGGGCAGGTCTTGGGATGGGAAAGCAAAGAGTGTGCGGGAGCCCCTTCATCCCTGACGGCATTCCCCTGCAGTAGTAGCAAATCACTTCAAATAATCTCTTGCATTAATTTATAGATGTCCAATTAGGGTTCGTTAAGGCTAAGGACTCCTGGAGGCACGGGGACTAGTTTCCACCACGAGCCAGCTCAGCTCTTTACCGAGCGGTCCGCACGACCGTAATGCTGCCCGGAAGGCAAGCCGGTGCTCACCGCTGCCTTCACCGGGGTCCAAGGATGCCTTTGGCCCCAGAAGATGCTTCTGGACGTTGCACTCAACAGGGCTGGGGTTAGGAATGGAGAGGTAATTTCTAGGGTCATGTTAGAGACTTCCAAGCAAATCACAGATTCTTCCAATATCGTAATTACCTGAGAGGGCCCTGTTCCACCCAGGCTGCTATTGCCATTTATTCTCTAGTGTGGGACAGAGGAACAGCTCTCGAGGGCTTAGCAGGAGCGAGAGGCTTAGGTCTAACTAGGTCTTTAAGAATAAATAAATAAAACCACAGATAAAGACTGAACCCCCTTGAGATACTCCCCCACCCTCCCTTGCAAAAAGAACGGATATTTCAATTTGGATGGAAATGCGAGCCCTGCACCCGGCTGGGCCGGTTCCCCCTCCAGCAGCTCTCCCATTTGCATCGTTAACAGGAACCCGGCGGACGGGGAAGCACCTCCAGTTTGGCAAAGGCAGTTTTTTTTCCACGCGCAGACGGACAGCCAGGACATCCCACGGGATGCAAAGATGGCCCCCAAGCATGCTCTGTGGCCCGCAGTCATTGTGTGGGACAGCTATCCCGCTCAGGGGAGCAGAAAATACCCAGCCGGCCAGAAAATCATTAGCCCTCAGCACCGGGAGGAAGGGCAAGCTGGCAGTGTATGCCAGAAACTTGTGACCCACCCTGAAATGATGTCTGCAATTTGTTTTTTTTAATATCAGTACAATTATTTGGGCCGTTGGCATCAATTTTCCACCAAGACATGCGCTGAGGCGTTGCTGCTGCACCAGGCCAGCAGTGTCTGGGAAGAGGGGGATGCTGTCCCGCATGCGAGAAGACGTGGAGCCGAGTTCCATACTTAACGTGGGCAGCCACAGGGAAACGATCGCTGGCTCCGGGAGAGAAGAGGCAGCCAGGTGTTCGCGTAATGCCGCCCAGCAACTGCTGGGCTTTTATCAGCATGCTTAAAATACTTGTGCAATGAGCTCGAGTCGAGGGCGTAGCTGTGCGGAGAGGGAGATCTCCCGGGAAGCGCTACCGAGCGCTCCATCCGCGCATGGGAACACAAAGGCGATGGGTGGGACCTCGCCTTGACCCTTTGCCAATGGGAACCATCCCACAACCACCAAACTTTCTGGGCAGGTTTTGCAATTATTTTTTCCCCTCTAGGTATTTGAATTAAACTAATTACTACGTACAATTGCCAAACTGGCTCTTATGACTGAGGAGGCGCTTTTTTTTCCTTTCTTTTTTTTTTTTTTCCTGGAGCAGAAATCCGTCCTCTTAAAAGGCAAGGATCTCCCTCTGCACTTCTGTAACATGTTGCTGAGAAAGGTAATTTCTATCTAATGGGCTTAAATTAGATCCCTTGTGTCAGACACCCTCGAGCTTTGGGACATCGCAGGTCTCGGCTCTGCAGCGTGGCCCTAGTTCTGCTGCAAAGCTGTGCATGTGATGCCTCTCATTTAAGGCAAGACCTTTCACTGGGACAAGTCACCAGATCAGCAGAAAAAGCCCTGCGCTGCTTTGCGCAGCTCTGCCAACACACTTGCTCACCTTCTTCATCCCGTCTATCCCACTTTCTGAACCTTCCCTGCTATTTTTTCTCACTCTCCAGCTTTTTTCTCCCTTTTCCCATACCTGGCATGACCCGTCCCGGCCAGGAGCCCATCCTCCTCTCCTGCCCCAGCCCTCCTCTCCTCCCACAGGTTTCAGGGTTGGGTGCTGGCAGCATCCCAAGCCGGGTGGCTCCGTCTCTCCTCCCACCCTCCGCTGTGCCGGGGCGCTCGGCTCGCCCTCCTTTCCAGCTCACATCCTGTTGCCGCGCTCAGATGATGGTGCTGGCCCAGATCAGCCAAAGCCCGCAGGGCAATCATCGTGGGGCCTCATTTAACGATTAGGTCATCCCCACCAGCGGCCGCCTTCAAACCAGCAAAGCCCCGGCAAAGCCCCGGCAAAGCCGGGGGGTTCAATGCGCTGAGCCCCGCCCGGCTGCAAGCTCTCCTCCTAAGGTTTTGCGTCCGATGTGCAAATAAAATCACGAAACGTGGGCCCGTTACACAGGGAGGCTGTGCTGGGCTTCCTCCCTCCCCTGAGGGCGGGGGGCTCTCTGCAGAAACAAGACCTCCGCTCTCGGACGGGGACCGGGGTTGACAAGGAGTGCGGATGCAAGTCCCCCCCGGCTCGGGGCTGCCCTCCCACCAGCTCCCGCGCCCAGCTGAACAGCACATGCACGTGGGGCAGAATTTTCCCTTCCTGCCTTTGAAGATGGGGGGAGGGGGGTGGAATCAAAGGGAAATTAATTAAATCATTTCCGCTCTTTTCCTTTCAGTGCAAAGCCCCGGCCATAAGCAAGGAGCAAGTGGCAAGCTCGTCAGCCTCAGTAGCAAGTGACCTTGGATTGGTCCTGAAAGCAGGATGATGGGTGCAAGGGACAGTGCCATCCTACATCCCGCTGTTCCCTTTCCGAGACACCTATTTAAAAGGCAAGGGCGAGTGACTCAGTGTCTAGCAAGGGCGGACGGGTTATCCTCCTGCAACGCCCCATCCGTTCCAGCCCTGCAATGAGACCGACACCTGAGCTCAGCCCAACTTCCAGCTCCTCGGGAAGCCTCTCCCTGGCCTGAAGAAAAACCTCCATGGGCTCCGCCGGCCCCAGGCTGGCAAAAAACATCAGGAAAAGACAGCAGCAAGGCTCAAACCTGATGTTTCCAAGGGTTAAATTCCCAGCGTGTGGTTTCCTTGCATTAACTAAAAGCTGTTGCAAGCTAGCGCTCAGGTTTTTGATACAGCAGCAGCGAGGCATTTTCATAAAGCCAGATTTCCACGCTCTTAGAAAAGTGAGGATTCCTAACGCACCACCAAAACGCTCGCTTTGCAGAGCCGGTCTCAGGCTCGCATAGGAAGGAGCAGCCTTCTAGCTGCTGTACGGGGGGACCAGCCGTTGCGGGGTGCCACCCACGGCCAGAGACGGATGGCAGGCATTTTAATAGCTGCATTTCTCTGCGAGACACCCACGCCGTCACTGCCACAGCTGCTGCGGAGAGGCAGCTCGCCGGGACGCGGCTCCGCTGGCTCAGGCC